AAAGTTACCAGGGCTATCTGATCATATTAAAAAAGCTTAAGGTGACATTTTCCTATCATCCCTCGTGTCCAGGAACTGGAATCTGATGAAGGCAGAGTTGAGCCTCAAAGTCAGCAGTGCCATGTGTGTACAGTGTTTTTCACACGTGCTTCAGGACAGCCTATCCATGGGATCCCAGGCATAACACAAAGGAGAGGACATGGACAGTGATGGCAGAGCACAGCAACAGAGAGTAAGGACAGAGGAGGTTCCTGGCAGGTAGGGAGCCCTGATGGGCACTGAGTGCTCACACTCCATCAGTGTCATTTCCTACTAGAACTGATGTGTTCTGAGTTTAGGTTTGTGGGGTGGGATGGAAATGGCACAGGATAATTGCAGTTTACTGAGGCTCATAAGGAGAGCTGAGGGCTGATGATGGGGCACAGCTGAGGGCTGATGGGGCACGGCTGAGGGCTGTGGGACAGAGCCTGGCAGAAAATGACTGTGCTGGGATAAGGTGCAAGGCCAGTGGGACCCGGGAGGCAGAATGAGGTCAGGTAAGTGAAAGGCTTTTTGTTTTTGTTAGTGTTTTTTTTCCTGGCAATGCTGTGTTACATTGTCTGTGTGCAAAGGGGTTCTGCTCTGGGTGGGTGGGAGTCTCCCCTGCCCCAGTTGCCCTGTTGGGAGCCAGGGCTGGGCTGAGAGGAGAGGGCTGGAGCTGCTGCCTTGGTTGGGAGGAGCAGACTGACCTCTGAGGAGGAGGCTGGAATGTGTTGTGTCCAGCTTTCCTGGATTCTGCTCCAGTCAGTCTGTTTGTAGCCTGAGCTGTGCTTTGTGGGTTGTTATTTGGTGCCTCCTGCTCGTGTTCCCAGTTCCGGGGGCTCTCAGAGTGGAGGGGCCTCGCTCTGGGGGTGCCTTGGACAGCCTGGGGCAGTTCTGGGGTACAGCCACGGGCTGGTAAACATCAAACTGCTCTGGGTTCCAGCTGGGGCAGAACCTTCGTCCTCGAGCATGGGAGTTTGTGTGGTTTGATTTTTTAAATCCAATACCTCTGCCCTTCAAGTTTAGTTGAGAACTAAATTCACTATTTCTTTATGAAAGACAACAAAGCTCAACTTAAATCTTAAGCTTTTTATTGCTTGCATATGAGAGATGTAGATAAGATGGATGACATGTAAAGTAGTGCTTTTATGAGGCTCGGGCCATTCCCAGCAGGACAGTACAATGCCATCGTTATTCCCACACAAAGCCTCTGGCAGCAGCAGAACATTACTGGACTAATTAACACCTGGCAGTGGCACTTCCAGTGCAGAGCAGGGTCTGGCAGAGCTTTGCCCCACTCTGCAGGTGGGAAGGTGGGGGCAGGACCTTGTGCAAAGGAGGGGGAAGGTGCTGAGGGTCCCAGAATGGCCTCGAGTGTGTGAGGGGCAGCTGCTCAACTAGTTCAGTGCTTCAGGAAAACCAAATGGCAGCTTCATCAACCACTGAATAATGTGCTCATCATATCTGGAAGGGAAAGCTTTGAAAACTGCAAATGGACTCAACGTCTCTTAAAGTGGCCTGGGCCTGGCAGGGAGGGCTGGAGCCCAGCCTGGCCACTGCTCTGCCCTCGCTGTCTGAGGTGGTTTGTCCCAGGAATCCCAGTTGGAGCACAAAGGGAGGGAACACCAGAGCTCCAGCAAAGCTGGGGCAGCTGTCTGGGGGCTGGGGCCACTGGCATTTGTGACAGCAAACACAAACAGGCATGAGCTGGTGTCACCATGGAGGGAGGAGGTCGGTGACCGACAGCCCATGGGATGGGGAGGGGACAAGGTTCCAAGGCCACAAATTCCTGAGTCTGCAGCAAAAGCTGCCAGGCACAGCAAGGGCTACTCTAAACTTACTTCTTTCTTGTGTGACCTAAACCCGAGACTTCTGCCCCCCTTTGCTTCAGCACGTCTTTCCAAGGGCTTCTCTGTGCAGTAGGATTTCTGGAGCCAGGCCCTCTGCCACGAGAGCTGCTGATCCTGCCCCAGTCCAGAGCAGGGTTTGAACACTTGCTCTCCTCCCTGCCATTCCCCTCTCTGGGTCTGCTGAGCTCGGTGGGGCAGGGGGGCTTTGAGGCAGCTTCTGTGGTCCTGGAGGGTCTGTGCCCCACGGAGGGGCTGAGCTCCAGGGCTGGCTGAGCTCCAGGGCTGGCTGAGCTCCAGGGCTGCCTGTCCTCACTGAGAGGGTCCTGCTCTGGTCAGTCAGAGTGTCCCTGAGGCTGACCCGTCTGATCCCTATTGCCCAGTGTCTCCTGGGCTCTCTGTGGTGGCAAAGGGAATGGGAAATGCTGGGAATCCCCTTCTGCTGCAGGGCAGGAGCAGAGGGTGAAGGGGCTCAGTGGGGACAGCTCCTCTCCTATTTCAGCTGCACCCCTGGTGGTGCAGTGGTTAAGGACGCGGCGCTGTCACCGGTTCGATTCCCGGTCGGGGCCCCTCCCCGGGCAGATGGAGCTCGTTAGCCCGTAAGGCAATCCATCTACCTCCTGAGGACCTCGCTGCCACCGTCCAAGCTCACTTGGCCCCGGCGGATGAACCTCAGGATTAAAGGGTGGGCTCAGTTCCGCGCACACTGTGTCTCACCTAAAAAATCCAATGCGCAGGCTGGAAGGTGGAAAGACCTTCCCCGGATCTTCGTTCACAAAGACTGGCCATTACTTATTTCAGCTGCAAGTAGATGGGCAGGGAAAGGTCAAACCACAACTCAGTAATGCTCACTTTATCCAGAGTAAAGATTTATTCACTGAAAAGATTCCTACATATCCAGAATTCCAGTAGCATAGAGTGCACTCTTGGGGTTTTTTTCCTTTTTTTTTTTTTTTTTTTTTTCTTCTGGTTGCATAAACTAATACAGAAACTGTTGTTAATCCTAACAATTTGTAATTAATTTAACAGCAATTCTGGAAGACACTCAGTTCATAGAAAATATAAAAAAAAATTTGTACTGTACAAAGTTTACATCACATTTGAAAAGAAAACGTGTCCATGTTCACCATGTTACAGACCATTTACATTCACTACCGACGTGTGGCTCCTGTAGCAGCATCGTCACAGGGACAGCTCCAACGGGACAGGGACAGGACGTGGGACAGGAACACAACCCAGGGACTGGGAGATGGCAGAACCCGAGCCCCCCAAGCCTTGTGGTGGCTCAGCCAATGCCACTGATTGAAACAAAAGAACCCCCGAGACAGGAACTGCTCTCTCCTCTGGGCTGCACTGGGACTGCACTGCTGGGCTTTGTGTTTAAGGGCAATTTATGGGTGTTCCACACACCACCCAGGTCACGTCAGATTAGAATCCCAAATTCTGTTCAAGGGTTTTGAACAGTCCCCTGTGCCCAGGACTGCAGGGCATGTGCCCAGCTCGGGGGACACGTCCCAGTGTCCCACACACTGACCTGGGGCACAGAGGGGCAGGAAGGGTCCCACAGCCAGGGAGGACAAATGGGGACAGTCTGCTGGGGTTTTTAATTCTTTTGTTTCAATCTGGCTGCACACCCAGGGCTGGCTGTGCTTCCCCAGTCCAGGCTCTGAGACAAAACCTGAGCACACACCGAGTGCCAGCTGGGCACCCCGGGTGTCCCGGGGACACGGACTGAGCCCGGGGCTGCAAAGGGACAGGCTGTAGGAAGCCCAGGGCGGGTTCCAGCCAGAGGCAACATTCTTCTCCCTGCTTTGGGTTTGTGCTGTGCTGCTGTTATTTAAGCAGCACTTGTGGGAAAACAACTTCTGCTTAAAGCTGCTGACACAATTACTGAGAGAAAACAAACAGTAGTGAGTCCTGCAGAGCCCGAGGGTGCAGGTGGAACTGCTGTGCTGGGAGGGGGCTGATTTGGCTTTACCAGGAGAGAGGAAAGGGAGCACAGAGTACTGCAAGGCCACCCCTGGCCACACCAAAGCCGTTTCCTCTTTTATATCCAAGACACATTTCAAAAGTCTGTCAAAACACTCGGAAGAGGCCTCTGCTCAACAGAACTCAGGTTTTGTGCCATTTAGCTCTCCACACGAGGCAGCTGAACCGAGGGCTGGCACTTTGCTCGCAGGATTTTAGAGCTCCCCTCCTCAACCCTCAGGTGAAAGCCTTGTGATGGTGGGAAGGGGACCTGGGGGGTGTAATGAGCTGCTGCAGTTGGAGAAATGAAATCTGGTGAGTCCCAGGGAGCCCTAAGGACCTGTCTCAGCAAAACCAAAGCTGCACAGACAGGAGAGGTCTGAACGGTCGTGGTGTGCTGGGATCCTCCCAGGAAGCTGAGGAACATGGATGGGAGGCACGAGGGAACCTCTGGTAAGAGAGACTGCAGTTAACTGGCAATGGGATGATGAATCCCTCATCTCGATGGCTGCTGGCTCCACAACCCCCACACTGTGCACTGGATGGGGGGGGATGTTTTTTTGGTCTTAAAAACAAACCTGCAGCTCTGGAAAATGTCTTTTCTTCTACAACTGCAACAGTGATGGGGCTGGAAGAGTCGAGGCTGCTGGACAGTGTTATGTTTCCAGAAATGTCACAACTTTAGGGGACTGGAACACGTGCCTAAATTTCAAAAGAAGAATTTGCCCTCTGTGTGGAGCTGTGTCATGTCATGGGTTTATTCTTAAAGGCCAGCAAGTCTCAACCCTCTGGGATTGTAGGAGAAGGAGCAGGTTTTAGTGTGAGTTCTGTGGAGAAGAGCACTTGAGTCATTAACTGAGACAGCCCCCTGCAGCAGGACATCCGAGCTGGGGCAGCTGAATTCAGGGTGACCCAGAGCTGGACCAGCCCTGCTGAACCTCGGGGCTCACTGACTGCTTTGGGCACGTACCAGGGCAGCAGGCTGGGCTCTCCCTTCCTGAAGGAAACCCTCCCTCTGCAGGCCAGTGCCTCCCAGGAGCTGTCCCACTGCTCAGGGAACCCAGAGCTCCGCAGGCAGAGCGTGGCTCCTACTGACCACAGACACAAGGAGGAACCAGGAACTGTTCTTCTCTCTGTCTCAGTGCTGTTTGAGAATGGCTGTAGTTAAACTCGAGTCACTGTTTATTATGTTTAAAAAAATATAGTTCACACAAAAGTATCATGTAAACATTGTTTAAATAACTGCTGGTGCTCAGGCAGGACACGGAGCTGAGCTGATGGTCTTCAGAGGGGCTGCACCAGCCTCAGCACGGAGGAGCACTGAGGGTTTCTGGTGCCGTGTGGGAGCAGGCAGAAACACGGACACCGTGCTACAGCTTTGGGTTACTCGGCTCCAGGATTCCCAAGCCAAATCTTTCAAAACGCAGGACAACTTTGCTACTGTTAATGCTGCAGAGAGTGGGGAGGGAGAGGAGAAGGGAGGGGGGAAAGTGTTACTGATAGTTCTTCTTAAAGCTACAGCCCTATCACAGGAGCTGAAATAGGTTCGGTTCTGCTCTCGTACCACCCAAAAGAGGCTCAAGTAATTAAACAGCAAACACATGAAGTTTTTCATGTGAACCCCATCAGTGGGAAGAAACACACAGACAATCTGATGTGCTCAAGCAGGGGGAACAGGAGGTTTTCCAGGTACCTACAGTGGGGGGAAGCCCGACTCTGGTTTTCAGGGAACACTTGGTTCCGTTGAAGTAGAAGGGAAGCAAAAACTGACAGAATTCTCTTTTTAAGAGAAAGGGGGTTTTGACAAGGTACATGAATAGGTTAGAAAAGCCCAACAGAACAAACCCAAACCCCTTTGCTTCTCTATAAAGGTGCATCAAGGTGTCTCTCCCCTTGCTCTTACGCTGTTGACAGAGCCAGAAGCACTTTCAGCTCAGAGCCTTCCTCGAGCACGGCCTGAGCACACAGGAGGCTCAGGAGTGGATGTGGGTGTTTGTCCTCAGACAGCAGAAACCCTGCTGGCCCTTAGTGCATGTTCTCCTCTGCCCCTGTCCTGTCCCCTCCAAAGCAGTGAGAAAGGCACGTGTTTGCTGTGGTACCTGTGAGTCTGCCAAGCCCCCACGCTGAGCCATTCTGCTGACCAGGGGATGTAAACAGAAGCAAACCATAACATTCCAAACACTACCTCTGCGAAGGGAGGAGGAGCTGAAGGGCTTTCCTCCTCTTTTACACAGCTTTGTAGCTGATCCCAGCTGGCCCACGTGGGCCTGTTCTGGACACTGCCCGTGGCCTGTTCCCGGTGGGCTGAGGACCGTCAGCTGCTCCAAGTGGAGCAAGAACTGGCCCTGGCTGCAGTGCTGCCCCCCTGGCCCTCAGCTCCTGCTGTTTGCAAGTGGAGGTTCAGTCCTGGCTGTGCCACGACAATGTCCCTGTCACCTTCAGCCACAAAGCTCCGGCGCTGAGGACACGGGCGCAGCCTCGGCGGGACCCGCAGGACACCCACCAGCCCAGCAGGGTGAGGCCAGCCCTGACCTGCCGGGCAGGACACCCAGCCCTGGCTGGCACGTGCACCTGGGCAGGCAGGGCAGGTCCCTGCAGCTTTCCAGGGGAGTCCCAGGCTCCTGGAACGCTCCAGAGGGAGAGGAGGCCGCGGTGTTAGGCAGGAAGGTCTCGCAGACAGGAGTGGTTATTGAAGCAAACAGCCCACACCAAGCAAAGGCAGAAAGGAGAACTCGGATAAGGTGTTGATTATGTCCATGGGTTAATTTCGTGGTTTGTTTTTGCTTTTTTAATGGAAGGTGATTGTCCAAGTTGCTGGTTAGGATACGACACATGGAAGCATGCAAAGTGGAGCCCGTTATTGCACCAGTAGCTACAACCTACAGAGAAATATGGGAGGGAAGGGAAAAAGTCACCATGAGAGTTAGTTTTCAGTTATTTAAAGCAAGCCCTTGAGAAGTACGAACTGCAAAGCTTTGAGCAGGCTGGAGCAGGGATTAGTGCACTGTGTGAAAGGATCTGTCAGAGGGCAGGGACAGGTGTCTACAGGGCAGTTGGACTCTGAGCAGGGCTGTGGCTGCTGGAGCCTCCCCCAGGGACCTGGACAGACCCCAGTGTGCAGGGGATGAACAAGGGGCTGCCTGTGCCTTCACCTCAATGAGCACTCAGTCAGTGCTGGTAATTTCATTCTCCCCTATTAAGTGCTTTGAGCAGAGGAAAAGGAGCGAAGCAGGAATTGCCATGAAGCTCTTGGGTGGGGTGTCAGTCTGTCCACCCAGACAGAGAGAGCTGGGGCAGCCCTGCGTAAGGCACTGGTTCCACAAGCTGATCAAGAACAGCTCCCTGTGGAAACACAAACCCCAAATCATCACCTGGCAAACTGCTCTGGAATTGAAAATTCTCATGGACTGACTGCCCAGAGGGGAAGTTTCTCCAAGTTCACTCCAGTGTGATGTCAGAGGACAGTGCAGGAGTGGGCCTGAAGGGATGCCTGGTGCTCCCTCTGCTCCATGGGGGCTGGGCAGGGGGTGAAAAGGTGTCACATCAGTGCCCAGGGGTCTCAGTGGATGGAGACACGAGAGCAGGACAGGGCTGACACAGCTGGAGTGCCGGGGTACAGGGGGGCTCTGTAGGAAGGGAAAATACCACCTAAGGCCACTGCTGTATCTGCAGATCTCTTGGCAAAAGAATTAGTGTTTTCATAACGTAACAGGGCTTGAACACAATGATCTCCCTCTGAGGCAATGGAGGATAGTTTAAAAAAATAGGAAGAAATTCCCAAGTGAAGCTGGATGCCTTGAAAGGATGGATAACAGAAAAGCAGACTCAAGGAACCTGGGTATGGGCCTGGCCAGTGAAAGCTGTGCCTGGAAATAAGGTCTGGGATGCTTTAGGCCAGAAAAGAAAATAAAATTGTTTCCTTAAATTATGACCGAAGCACAGATAAGCAGCAGTTACCTGCATGTCCATTTCTTAGCTCAGATTTTGTTGCTTTCTCCCTAAATTTTTATTTTTAAAAACCTAGACAGTGGAACTCAGCAGGGCTGAAGCCCCCTTGGCTGCCAGGTCTGTCCCACAGCCCGTGGAGCCACTGGCTGGGGATGGCCACGACAGCTGCCCCGTGTCAGGGTTGTTGAGGGGTGCAAGGAGAGCCCAGAGTTCCACAGTGAGTGCTCTCTGGAGAGAGGGGAGGGCACAGTCTCAGACAAGCACTCCAGTTTACAGTTGTTGGACATCATGGAGTGTCGAGGATTCAGCACAAATAGTGGGGAAATTGTGCAAGAGAAGTGGCAAAATTTTCAACCAAACGACCCCACACCCACCAGAGCCTGAACTGCCACAACATCTGTGTCAAGAGTTCAGCTGGTTATGATCTGGTGTTACAGGAAGATTGTGAAGGGTTATGGGAAAGGAAGAGATGGGTTAACATCAGAAAAAGGAGAAAAAAGAGAAAATATGAGCACTTCAGGAGATGAAAATAAAACACTGAGCCAAGGACGTGGGGAATGGGCACAAGGTGGAAACGTGTCTGTGGCTTCACACTCAGCCAGTCTGAAGCACTTCAGAGGGAAACGGTGGCACGGCCTTGGGTCCTTCCTTCCTCAGGCAGTACCTGCCATTACCACTACAGGGGAAATTCTGACCACTTTGGGGTCAGTGTGGGCCCCCCCAGCACAGCTGGATCAGTTTGGATCTGCTGGAAGGGGGTGAATATGGCAAAGCAGGCAATGAACTGACTGAGGTGGCTTAACTGCATCATTTCCCACATCAGAAGAGCAGTGTTCCCCTCCTGTCTGGTCTGACAGCCCCCAAGAAGGCAAAGCAAGCTCAGACATGGTCACTGAAGTGGACTGGCATAACTGCTGTGAACAGCAGCAGGTACTCACTCAGCAGACTTCCAGAAGTGCCCCGGGTGGGAGAGCCGGCGGTTGAGTTTTGGCAGCTTTTCCAGCATCTCCATGAGCACAGTGAAGCTCGGCCTCTCGCTCAGGTCGAAGGCCCAGCACGCCGACAGGATTTCCTGCAGAGGACATTTGGGGCTCGTTACCCCCTGGCTCACAGGTCAGCTGTGCAGACCAGAAAGCTGACTGAGCACTGGGATGTGTGTGAGCCCAGGCAGATCCCAGCTGCTCAACACAGGGCCTGGACACCCTTACAATCCAACAGTTTCCCGGTGCTGGGGAATGTCCACTTCTGCACAACAGTTACAAGCAGAGGCTTAGCCTCTAAGCTGGTCTGCCATTCTCATCTGTTCTCTTTCCTGCCCTTTATCTTTGGGGTTATGAGTGAAATAAACCCCTTGAAGCAGCTCCCTCTCTGAGGGAGCCGTGTGGAAGGACTCCCGCAGGGCGGTACTTACATTGACCTCCTTGCCCAGGCTGACGGTGGCCAGGACCTGCCGCACCCCCTCTCCGCTGCCGATCTGCCAGATGAGCGCCTCTGCGGGCTGGGTCCGGAACGGCCACTCCCGAGCCTGCAGCTCGAACCACACCGTCCTGCAAGGCCAGCACACATCGAGCCTCTGCCTGCCCCAGGGGGAAATACCCAACCCTGGCACCGTTCCAGCTCCTCCGGCTGAGCTGTGGAAGGTGCACAAAGCTGTGCACAAACCCCTCCCACCCGTGACTGCTGGAGCACCGAGGAAAGCGCATCCCAGCCGGGATCCCGAGTCTGGGAGAAGGGGATCCCTCACTGGAAGGCTCAGGCCTGTAACAAATCCCACTTGGCGAGCTCTCGTGGTACTCTTGGGAGTTCCTTCCTTACCCAAAGGCATAGATATCTGCAGCTTTGGAGAAAGGCAGCTTGTCCTCATCTTTCCCCGGGGCCATCTCCCGGACGATCTCGGGGGCCAGGTAGCACAGCCAGTCATGAGGCAACTTCAGTTCGTTCTCCCTCCTGAGTCCAAAGAAAAGCAGCAGTACTGAAACTCTGGTGTGTAGATTGTATCTGTGCTTCACCTCATGTTTTGACTTTATTTACTCAAATGTTTTTGCTATTTGTTTCTCATTTTCTTGCCATGTTAACAAATGAACACATATCAGCCTGACTCTCCAGTTTACTCCTGGGCTTAAAGTTTTGTTTGTTCTGTGCAGCGTGCAGACTGTGTTCTAAAGCAACTGACACTCCTTGGGTACCAGGTACTGGGGGAAATGTTTCCCTATTTGATCATCATTTGTCATTCTAAAGGTGGACCAAGCAGTGAAATCTCCACTCACCTTCCTTCCTGAACCACGCCCGAAATCCCAAATAATCCAAAGTCGGTGATCACAACTTTCCCATTGTCATAGAAAACATTCTTGGATTTCAGATCCTTATGTACGATGCCCTTTGCGTGGAGATACCCCATGCCCTGGGAAATACAGCAGAGGTGGAAATGTTTGGGGGCTTGTTACTATTGCCAAGCACACTTTGCTTTCTAATACAAACTCCCTCTCATCTCTGCAGTGTAAAGGACCAGCTGGGACAGGGCACTTGTGGCACTTGTGCAGGAAGGTGTAAGGGAGCAGCTCCCAGCTCAGAGTGCAGCTTCCAAGCTCTGGATGAGGCTCTGCCCCATGGCTCCACTGGCACAATGAGCCCTTACCTTAATGATCTCCTGTGCTATCTGCCTGGTTTTGTTAATGTCCAGGGATATCTTGGGGTCCCTCACAAAGGAGTGCAGTGTCCTTCCTTTGCAGAAGCTACAGAAAATGTTTGCACATTAAAAAAAAAATTATTAGCTATATAATACTTATATTTTAAAACTAATAGTAAGATGCTGTCCTCACCTGGTAATGATTGCTAAGTGAGGGGGGTTCATGCAGGCTCCCATGAACAGCACCACGTTCTCGTGCCGGGTCTGTCTGTAGTTCATCACTTCCTTTTTAAAGAGCTTGAGATGATCCTGGTTGTTCCCGTCGATCTCCAGCAGCCTGATGGCCACCTCCCCGTGCCACTTGCCCTTGTAGACCTTCCCCCAGCGGCCCTGGCCGATGGGGTCCCCCAGCTCAATCTGCTCGAAGGGGATGTCCCACTCCTGCAGGTACACGCTGGTCTGGCTGGGCTTGCGGTAGATCATCCCCTGCAGGTGCGGCCGCCGGTTCGGCAAATCTTCCACCTCATCCTCGTCATCCTCAGGCTCCGATTTATTTGTCTCTGGTTCTTCCACCTGTTCACAGCAAGGCAAGGGAAAGGTGTGCTCAGAGTCCCGCGTGGAGGGCAGAGCAGCCCAGCAGCACAGGCTGCTCCCAGACCTTCGGGGCCCACCAGCAAACCCACCTGTGCCTCGTGTCCACCTCCACCCGGGCCTGGCTGGGCAGTGCTGCAAGAGAAGGTTTGCACTGAGAGTAACACCTGAAATCCACCTGAGGTGGAACACTGGGGGGGATGCATTGCCATTAGGGGAGGGGGAAGAAGCCAGCAGAGAACAGATCCTGACAGAGTTACAGTAGGTCAGACAAAAATACAATTCCTGCTCCACGTAAGAGAGAAGGACTCTAAGCTCACTCTAGCAAACAAGGGACAAAGACTCTGAAGTGATTCTCAGTGATTAAGTGGCAGGAATTGATTTGGCAGTGGCTCTGTTATTACAGTGTGTTCCAGGAATGGATACTCCCATTCCTGCTCCTGAAACCCCCGTGGAGGAGCAGCCCTGTGGGAGCTGGCAATGCAGGCTGCAAGCTTTTCCATGCCCTGCAGTGCAGATCCTGACAGAGCTGTTTGCTTGCAGCTCAGTGGGCCTTGCCCTTCAGTTATAAAGCTCCAACTTTCATCCCACCCTGCACACAATAAGCAGGTATTAAAGGCCTGGACTGCTTCGTGTCCCGTTCAGAGTTGTGTCACATTCAGCTTTATAAAATGGGGATCCCAGCACCGCCCTCGCTGGGTAAAGTTATCCTGGGAGTTCTCAGATGTTAAGTCCAGCTTTGGCCCTAACACAGCATTTCTGGACTGAGCTGAGGATTATCAGGTAAACACTGTGCTAACAAAGGGATTTAAAACTCTACTTACTTAGTGTCTGCAGCAGTTTCTGGAGGTTGTGCTGTTTGTGCAGGGCTGGGAATTTCTGTCAAAGTAGAAACAGTTATGCTACATCTTTTACACTTCAGTCTCATAGACTGCAAGTTTTAACATTGCAGTAGCAATTATTTGCTTCTTATTCAGGAATTATAAACTCAATCACAGACAAAAAGTGATTTTATACTTCTATTCCTTTAAAACTATGCTCATCCCTGCTATCCATGTTGGCCCAATCCTCTTTCCATTCCTTTACTGATCTGTAAAGTCTTTCTGGCCAGGCACAGAACCCTAAAAGTAAGTAAGTAAGTCTTTTTAAAGGAGGAACATGGATGTGGATAAAATCCCACAGCAGGAAGCTAATGTTGTACAGCTGAATATTCCAAGTTTCATGTCAGTACATAAATCACATCAATGCTCTGGCTCAGGGGAGAGAAGCCCGAGTATACACTGAGATAAGAGAGAGTCTGAATTGGTTTAGACATGTTTTTTTAAAGCAGGATTATTGTTCTTTGGCAGCGTGCAGAGGTTTACAAACAGGCTATGTTTTGGCAGAAGTTGGTTAGTAGAATTAAAACAATCAACTCACCTGGGAAGATAAACTGTTGTCTATGCTGAAGGTAGTAGGCAGCTTTTTAATTAATTGCGGTTTTGTAAAAGAACCACAAAAAAAATACCAGGAGAAAAAAACAAAACAACACAAACAAGTTAGAGGATCATCAGTGAGTGCCCCAAGTGCATTCAATGAATTAGTCCCAGCTCACTGCTGGGAACAGATTAGTAGATTATCAGCCTGCTGAGGGGGGATTTCAGCACATGCATTTGGGAAGCCCCTGAGAGATGACAGGTATCAAACACAAGCTGTTACCAGTCACAAACAGTCTGGTGGGCAAACAGCACACTGAGACCCTCAGTGGCAGAAGCAAATGCAGAGCCCAGGAATGTCCAAGGCAGGCCCACATCAGGTGGTGCTGCAATGCTCTCTCATGTCAGCTTTGCAGAGGTGCCCCCCACAGAAGCTGAAGCTCATGAGCCACCTGTGGGTTTTATTTTTATTTCAGTTTTTTAATTTCTGAGTAGTTTATCCCAATACAAAGTAGCTGCAGTGGAATCCTTACACTAAACTGGTTCTGTTCCTGCTCCTTTTGAGAAGCCTCAAACAGCAACTGGCACTCACAGTTCAGAACCTGATGCCAAATTCTGCAGTGTTGAAGGAAAGGTAGCAGCTACTGAGCAGCATCTGACTTCAGTTCCACATCAGAGGAACTGCATTTATTCCCAGTATGTAAATCTTTGCCCTTGTCAGAAATTCTTGCCCCTTTCAGCTCTGGTAAAAGCTGCACCCTGGGGCTCTTAATCCATAAGGTATGTAGGGTAAACTCTTCTCCACCAGACATCTGTGTCAATGGTTTAACAATGGGTGTTGATTGCGGGTTATATTTTGGAACAGCCTGGTACTTCACTCCAGTTCTCATTTTTACAGCCTGCTCCTGCCATCACCCAGCTCCTGATTTAAAGCCCCTGGTGAGCACACATAGCAGGCAGCATGCATTGTACAACGCAAGGGGAAAGGGAGCAGAAAGAATATAATGGTTTTTCAGTCCTTTTCCAAAAAGGAGAAAAGAGGAAGATCAAATCATTTAAGAAAGGTGCCAACATTCCTCAATAATCTGTTTCCTACAAAGGTCTTTTGCTGATACCCTTTAAAAACTTGTAAGAACAGACCATGTCCTTTTATCAGGTAACAAAATACACCTTCACCTTGCTTAGGGCACAACCATGTACTCAGAAACCTACAACTCCCTGGTCAGCCTCCACTTGCAGAGAGGCCGTTCTGCTCTTGACAGATCTCCTGAAGGAGAGGAGTTTACCTGGGAAGTTGAATCGCCCGTCCCTCTGGCCCATGGGAGATGGGTTTGGGGGAGGCGTTGCACTGGGAGGGTTGGAAGACTGGAAGGGTGCTGGGGAGGATGGAGTGGATGAGGTTGTAGAGGAAGGATTACTGCTGGAGTCCAGGTGGTTTATTGCTGGTGGATGCTCCTGCAAAGCAAGGAAAATCCCTTGTGAGAAAACAGTAAAAAGAAAGAACAAATTGCCCTCAGTGTTTGCTGGACAACAGAGAGAGGGAAGTTGTTCCCAGCCTTGGTCATGGCACTGTTTTTCTGAGTAAGCACCTGCAGCTGTGCACAGCCCATGTCTTACATGGACAAAATGTCACACAGCAAAGTCTCCTTGCAACGTGAAAGCTCAAGGTGCCATTCTGGCTCCAACTACCAAGATCCTGCTGTCACCACGTACCTTTTTAGTTAGTGCTTTGGGGAGAGTTCCAAACTGTGGTTCTGTGGGTCTGTCTACTGGATTATTGATATCAGATGGGACAGATTCTGTTCTTCTTATTTTTGCTACTGAAAACAGGTTGAAGAAGGGAGAAAACCAGCTTAAATCAGAGTTCTTATTCTTGCTGTACCATGAATTACATTGACGTGCCAAGAATTTGTAGCAAATTACTTACTGGGAAGGAAGGATATTCTACAAGCAGGTGCCTCTTTAGTACATTTGTTGTGACATTTTAATCTGAAAGAGAACCATTACATATTAAATAAGGACTTGTTCTTTCCCCAAAAGAGGAAGCCTACCCTTAATTTGTAATTCTTATGCTAATCTCAGAGGGAGTTCTGGAATGCCCGGGCCCCAAAGCAGCAGCATTCATATGGAGAATCCTATTATGTGTGTCATTAGCCTAATGAAGGCCATATACATATCTTAGCATCTGATTTATTTTTAATATAGTTACTTTCACTGACTCTCATCCAGCAACAGGGAAGCACTAAAATCTCAGTGCTCTGGACTAACAACCCAGAGAGAGAGGCAAAAATTAAAATCCTGGCTGTTATTTAAGGATCCAGCTCCCACTACAAGATTTGCCCAGGATGAGGTAGCAAGTCTGTGGCAGGGAAATAAATTTGGTTCATTCAGGTGTCAGGCTGACAACCTGAAGTGTGAGTTGTTCCAAAGCATGCCTTGGCTAGGTCAGGACTGAGAAATGGTGCCGCTGCCAAGAGTGCATCCCATCAAGAGACGTTACTGCAGCTGGCAGCAAATCAAATCCCAGGTGGTTGTTGTTGTGACCATCCCTGTGTGCTCACCTGCAGTACTTACACTTCACCCCGAACATCATGCTTTTCTGACAGACTTGGCAAATCTGAGACAGCCAGGACTTGGTAGAGAACCTGGGTAGAGACGAGGCAAGGAAACTGGTGTTAACTGGTGCCTAAGGGAAATGAACATCTGTGGGCAGTTACAGGCTGTGCTGCAGCTCTTGCTGAAAGGGGCAGGTGGGGTGTGGTGCAGATCAGAACCCAGCTCAGAGTGTGTCCCTGTGCTGCTCACCTGTGTGTCACCGCCAGGCCAAAGTCTCTTCGTACCGTCTGAGGGGATCCCTGGGAGAGCTCTGGTGGACAACAAAAGCAAGGTTTAGGGGAGCACTGCTCACACCTGCTCACCACTGTGGACAGAAACCACATGGTCACTGCCACAGGTCAGCCCCACCGGCCCAGAGGTGTCAGCACCACAGCTCAGACTTTGCTGCAGAGCTGCTACACTTGCATTTGTGTCCATGTGATTTGATAAATCCTGATATTTTACACTTAGGGATGACACAAGTCCATCTGATCAGGTCTAAGCCATTCTTCGAGTGGAAAGTCAGACTTTATTCCTAACTGGTTTACTTCCAATTGGTTTACCACAAATACCATCAGCCAGTTTTCCTGCAGTGTCAGTAGATTTCAGAACCTTCTTTTTCACTGAAAATTGTCTCAGTTTTCTAGACAGGGCCAGCATGACCCAGAAGGTCAAAAATGTGTATGTGAGCTCTCCAGTGGTTAGAGCACATAACTTTCTGAAAACTCTCCAATACTCAGATTGTGGCTGAAATAAATCTATATAAATATATAAATATTCCAAATCTGGACTAAACTCAAATCTGCAAGTGTCAGCATAGCCAGGGCTGTTGGTGCTTACACAGAGCCAGTCTCTCACTTGACCCTAGATGGCACCAGATTCTTTTTTATCATTAGTCCAGTGAATTTTTAAAGGTGTCTGTGGTCCTCAGCCTCTTAGGCTGCAGTGGCTGGCTGCTTTTGCAGGGAATATTGCAGCTCTAGTGTGGCCATCCAAATGGATCACAACACAACAGTTAAGATGGCTGTTAACATGGGGTGAGATGGATAAATCCTTACTGAAGAGTTCTAATGAATACACACCAGTTTGGGACTGACTGGCACTCAGCAGAGCCCACAGCAGAGATTTTAACCCAGCCAATGTGACTGTATGCAGAGAAGCACCAAAATCTTTCATTTCTGTCTGAATTTATTCTAATGCTTTTTTCATTCATTGCACAAATTATCTCACTCTCCACAGGGAATTGCTCAGATTCCTGCTGGCATTTTCATTTTATAATCTTCCTTCTATTTCTGAAAGTAATTCCCAGGATTTTTGCTTTAAGGGGCATTGGATATATGTGCCGTGCTATAACGTCCTTATTTGGACTTTTATACTTTTTTTTAATGCTTTGATGCTTTTGCACCCTTCCCAAGCTGCTCCAGTCTCTCTCCATTGGGTTCCAAGGTTACAGGTTGTGTCTGGGACACACACACCTCAGGGTAGCTGGAACTCCAATGGCACTGGATAAAAACACAGCCCTGCTCCTCAGACAGTAACCATGTGAACAGACTCCTCAGCACCAGGGGAACATTCCACATTCCAGCACTTGCTGAAGCTTTCTCAGAAGGCTGCACATAACTGTCTAATTTCATTGCAGAAACACTGGGCAGTGAATATCCAAAAACACAACATGGTTAGATATGACATTTCTGGTACCAAAAGGCATCAGCACCAGCTGTCTGAGGGGCAGACAAGCACTTACACCCAAACCCCTCACTTTAACCCTTGAAACATCACTATTCCTTTTCCTTGCTGTTGTCATTTGTCATCTGAAGAAGTACCAGGTACAAACAAGTAAATCCCCTGCAGTTCTGCAGCAGGCCAAGCTCCTGCTCAGTTAACAGAAGCTCTGGGATAGGAGGGCCTGTGGAGACCTCCAGAGGCTGCACAGGGATGACCAACAGGGAGCTGACAAGCACAGGTTCTTCTCTCTCAGCAAGGCACTGCAGACACCCCCGTAAGAGTCTCTTACCGAACCTAGAAAGAAAAAGAGATCTTTTTTTAGCCACCAGATTCCTGTGACGGGATTCACACTGTGCTAGAACAGGAACTGCTGCCTGCAGCGTTTTCAAACACCTCTGGTTTTGCACAGGCTCCTGAAGCTGCTGCAGTGCCAGTACTTTCCTGCCTACGTGTGGTAGTCTTTGCTGGGGAGAGCTCCTGCTCCAGTCTGGGAAAGAACTTACTTTATTGGAGGAACTTCATCTATCCTGTTTCCCAGCTGTGATTCGTGGGACTTGCTCCTCGTGAGGGTTGGGAAGTTGGGCAGCAGCTGGAACACCTTCCTGCAGGGGGGGGGAGGAGTCCGTGGTGGCTTCAGCTTGTGCCTCCGCCTGGCCTGTGGCGTGGCCGGGGGGGTGATGGTGATGCTGTGAGTCCTGGGTGTCAGCCTCCCCCCCTGGCTGGCCAGCACCAAGGGCTCCAGGAGGTTTTCTGCGTACACGGAGGGTCCGTGGCTCGCCGGGGGCTCTGAGGGAGGGGCTGTGGACACGGACACGGAGCGGGGCTGGGTGCAGGCCCTGGGCATGGGCAGTGGGTCCGGCTGGGAGGAGCTGCTGTCCCGGCGCGCCTCGGGCAGGTTCACCAGCACGTCGTCCTTCAGCTCCCCTGTGCAGAGAGAGGGGCAGTGACTGGGGAAGCACCTCCACACCTGCTGCCCTGGCTCTAAGGTGCCCCGTGCAGGGGATGCAGAAGATCCCATGGGCCTCAGCAGGGCCCCACCTGGTGAATCTCAGCACAGGGCCTGATTTTAGCTTTTGACAGACATGTACATGCATTTTTAAAAGTGCCCTTTCTTTCTAAGTGAATGCCATCACTTCTGAGCAATGGCTGGTTTGACACTGTGGATGGGAAATATCTGACAGCCCGGGACAAGAAAGATTAGAAAAAAGGAAATACGAAACTGAGCTGTTTGCTGGCTTTTCCATTGACTAATCTTTATGACTTGCAAATGGATGAACTGTCATAATACCAGCAGGAAACATCACCTTTCAGTGACAGATTGATAATTGCTACAAAGAAAGATGTAATGCATGTTAGTACCAGTCTGCTGGGAGAGGCTCTTGTACAAACAGATTTTACAGTGCCTTTGGAAGTGCCTGGGGAAGGTGACAGAGTTTCTCTCTGAGCTGGCAATATGTGGGGAGGGGATCAGCTACAAGGAATCTGGTTGTATTTGTTAGGCCAAGGATGTGTATTGACTGATGGAGAATGAACTGCAGCATTAGACACAACTCTGAACGGAGAGGGAAAAAGGATATATTGAGTAGGAGAGGACATTTCCTCATACATTTAGTTCCATTTCTTTATATGACTTTATGTCAAAGCCAAATCCAGCCCATGTCTCTAGCTGTGCTCGATCAGTGCCCCTTCATGGACATGCAAGAGCCACAAACTGACAGTGGTTACAGAATACATCACAGAGGGTGTACCGTGTCTGGAGGGTTTGCAGATTCCCACATGCAAGGAAGCAGGATGGGGCTGGGGTGCCAAGACCCCAATTCCATGTGAGAACAAGACAGTCTGTACCTGATTCTGTCACCTTGCGTAGGCAGCTGAGTGCCCCGTTGAGCCTGGAGCACTCCTCATCTCTGGCACCACATCTCTTCATTGTTTCCTTCACCTTTGACTCATTCATTTCTAGTAAGGCATCCAAGGTCAGCTCCTCTGGTATCCTCTGCAGAAAACAAGGTGAGACCATTTTCACTGTGTCTAAAGAGGACTGTCACCTGTTGTTCTGGTGTACTTTGAATAGCCCTGTCTCACTGCCTGGTCTGACTCACCATTTGCTCATTTTGGTAGTCCCCTCTCTGAACAGACCCAGCAGTGCCCAAGAGCTGCTCCCTCGCCCTGCCCCATGAGAGTGTGCTCTGCAGCACTGGCACTGGGCATTCTCTGCTGTTTCAGTCAGGATTAGAGGTGACTGGAATATTCTTCTCCCCTACTGGAAAGCTTTCACTCAGTACTTTTGCAAAGCTACCAATGAAACTACTTTTTCCTTAAAAATAGCAGCAGAAACAAAACAGGCCTAAAACCTGAAAAAATGTCAGATAAAGATGTTTGGCTTTTCTGTAGTGAAGTGAAAAGCAGAAACAGTGAGGGAAATTACTTCTTTTCTTGAACACAAAAGAAATGTTTTGACAGAGATAGCAACCTCCTCCTCCTCCTCCTCCTGCATTTTTCCTTCATCAGAGAACCAGCCTTACCCGTATCCTGCCTGGAGAGATATCTGAGCACAACTCCTACTACGTCTCAATACACCAAACCCCCACAGTGATAAGGTTCAGACCAGGCAGACACAAAAGATACAAGAGCCTGGAAAGCACAAAACGATCTGGTATTTCCTGACACAGAACTGAGCTGTGTCTCTCTCTTCCCCCATTCAAATGTTTCCAGTGTAAGCCTGCAGCAATTGTGGTTAATAAACAAAACCAGGATATTTAGCCCAGATACCCAGGAATTTCCCTGAAAGTTCTGCCTAAACAAACCTCCCTGTTGCCTACTCTCACAATGAGATCACAAATTTCACAATATTTGGCCTCTTTCCTAAAGCTTCAGCTCCTGGACTCAAGCTAAAGGGTTTGAACTTTTATTTGAAGGGGAAACTCAAAACTGTGTCTCACTGCCTGGAGAAATGCAATGCCTGAAATCCTCTAGTCCTTCAACCTCCCTTCAGCCTCCAAAGCAAATGTGACTGTGCTGAATGTCCTTTAACAACTGCATCTTTCTTAACCCAGACTTGTGCTTTTGAGCTGACACAGGACTTTCAGCAGTGACAGTGCTGAACAGCCCCAACCTTTGGAGCTTTGTAGGTGGTAACACAGAGAGTAATCACAGAGTTTCCATTTTTAGTAACTGTGACACGGAGCAAAGAGAAAGAGTAAATTAAAAAAGGGCAGAAGTCTTAAGAAACACATCCTGCATCTTCTGTCACATGGCCTGGGCCGGATGAAACACAAAACACAGCTGACTCAAGGAGAGCCCAGGAATTTAAATGAGCAGTAAGCACAAAGCAGGGCCAGAGTAGAGCCAGAGTTCAATGACATTTGGATCGATTTTTTTCCATAATTAATCTTTGCAGAATAACAAAAGCACAGACATTCCAGCTGATGCTGGGTATTATTACTCATTTTTCTGCACACCTGCACCATCACGAGGCAGGAGTAAGACTGCCCCCAAAAAGCCTATTCCCAAATGATTTCCACTGTCACAGTCTTGGTGCAAGTGGGATTACAGTGATGTTAAGTTTTGAATTATCTTGAAACATTTCCTCACCCCCACCACTCCCCACTAAGAACACCCCCTAAGACAGCCCTCGTTCTTGGCAGCAGCCTCATCCCAGATCCCGGCAGGAGCTCCCCACTGCTGTTACCCAGGATCCCCTCACCTCCCAAACCCTCCTGCCACACGTGTAACCAGTAATTTATCAGAGCTGTTAGCGAGTCAGTGGGTACAGTGGAGAGACCAACAGTTCCCTCAGGCACTGCCAGTGGCAGCTGGAATGCAGGGCCAGCTGGGGTGGCACTGGGGCAGCACCACTGGGGATCAGGTTTCTCCAGTGCCTCTTCTGTGCCAGGAACCAGCCCTCAAGCTGCATCAAGGATTCAAGCCTTCCTCGTTGCACTTGAAAACAATTTTTAAAAGACACAAAACTACTGAGCTCTTCAGAGTGTCAGGGAATTTTCCCTGTGTCCCATGCATTTCAGGACACAGTCTCTGAGGAGGGCTCCATCAGCCCTGAGCTGACTGACTGTGCTCTGCAGCTCGGTGTGTGGCCTGGGATGGTCCAACTGAGCAGCAAAGCCTGCCCAGCTCTGCACTCCCAGCACACAGACCCTGGCAGAGGGACCTGGGCCCACCTGCAAACTCCAGTCTGCTCATTTGCTCAATAGTTTAATTTTATAAAGACAGCATAGCAAGTTGTAGGAAAGTATAAAGTACAGAAAAGGAGATTATATTTAAACAATCCCAGTGACCTTGAGCTGGGAGAGCTCAGACTTTGTGAACCTGCTGCCAGCCCCCATGACACGCGACAAAAGAAATAAGCCTTCAACGAGGGGGAGGGAGGGAAGTAAGAGGCTTTCTTTAAACAGCCACTCATGTGCTGCACATATGTGGTGGCTTAATATAAAACTGGCCAACCTGATCCCTGTAAGATTGGCCTGCTATGCTTTAGCTCTGTGCTAGCCCCCAGCCAGTGTGACAGTGAGGAAGGTCACTAGTTCAGGGGGCTCTGGGAACAGGTTCTGCTGCTGCCCTGGCTCAGCTGTTGTGCTGGGGGAGAGTGGCCCCTGGGAAGGGCCCTCACAGGGGCCACTTTAGAGGGGAGTGTGGTGGGCTCCAACCCCTCAGTGCAGTTCTGGGTCCTTGCACAGGGGTTACCCCCACCCTTCAGCACCGAGGGTGAGAAATGTGGGTCCATCTGACCTCTCTTTACCTGCTTCTTCAGTGGGTGCCGAAGCTTCTAAAAAAATAAAGCTTTAAAAAATGCAGATTAAAGGCTTGCATTAGGGCCAAGCTCAACACCACCTCCTTGAGCACACCTGCCTTGACAGAGGAAGCTGCAAAGTATTCAGACACTATTCTAATAATAAGGTCAGATTCAATTAGGAGAGAAAGCAGGAGAAGACAGAACCTGCTTTCAATCTTCAGCACCTCAGGAAATCTAAAGCCTAACCATGGTAAGGCTTCTGCTCAGCAGAAGTGATGCTAAAAAGCCCAAACCAGGAAATCACTCCTCTCTACAAGAGGTAAAAGGACTTTCCTATACAGCCCTCCCACTTCTCAGACACAGACTGCACTTCAGGGGACACGTTTGAAGAGAGTGAAGTGAGTCCCACTGCACCCAAGGGGCCATCCAAGGGTTAGTCTCAATTAGTCTGGGTGAAGAGTTCACACAAGTCTTTAATCTTGTCTGGTGTCCAACTTAAATCCCTGAAACATGGCAAAAATGCTGGTATCTAACACAGTGGAGGGGTTATTTTTGGTAAAGATTCCACCCTGCAGATAAGCCTATGGAGCTAATGCTGCTGCAGGCCCTCTGCAAAATCAGCCTGACCTGCTCCTCGACCCAGTAGCCACAGCTCTTCCTGTAAAGCTGGACAGTTGTCAAGGCCCCAAATGCCTCCTCTTAAATCAATACATTCCCTCTCCAGTCACCCTCCTGTGAAGCAGCAGATGCTGGAAGAGAAAGCCCATTACATAAGGTGCTTAAATTCCCACTGATAGCTCTGAGCAAAGCATGTAAAGATGCTCTTAAGAACATCTTGTGCCTGCTAGTTGTTATTTTGCTCTGGTTTTCTGGTGCCTGGAGAAGAAGGTACTGAAAAATTGTTGCATTATTAAATTCCTGGAGATTTTATGGTCATTCTGGAAAGCCTCTCATATGAAATTTCCAGCCTACATTAAGCTGTGAGCATAACCAGGCTACGCTTTCACCTGACATCACCCTCCTCCCTGGTTCCCCTCACAGCAGGCAGCTGAGAGGAGCTGCCAGGCTTGGAGCATTCCCCTCCCCTGGCTCTCTGGGACAGGACTGCTGCTGTCACTACTTTCTGTAGAAGGCAGAGGTAGCAGTCAGACCCCTCGGGCTGACCTCAGGCCATGAATGATTCACACTGAACAAGGTTGCCAGGGGCACCTGCACCCCCTGGCAGGGGAAGGGAACCCTTACAGTGGGAGAGGATATTTTCCACGAGCTGTTTACACTGGGGAGGGACCTTCAGCTGGAACACAGTGATGGAGTTTTAGCTCAAGGAAGCCTGCAGGACAGAGTTAATCTGCATATACACTATTAGCACATCCAGGATCTCCGCTATCTGGTGGTGCAGTCAGAGCTCCTGCTGCCAGACCCATGGGAATCCCCGGCAGAGCCATAGTCCTCATGGCCTGTTCATGCAGATATGCTGACAGAAAGAGATGGGAGGATACAGCTGTGGAAACCTGATAGGCTTAGGCAGATCTGCCTCTTCTATCCCCATCCAAAGCAAGGATGCACACACCAAAACCCCTCAGCACCGCTCCGACAACTGACGTGCTTCAAGCTGGACCACACTCCACACAGACAGCACCCTCTGCCACGGGCTTGCAGCACCAACCCTTGGCCAGTGGCTCATCCTCGACAGATTTTCCCCGGGGCAGCAGGAGACTCTTGGCAGACAATTCCTGCCCAAGGCATGAGCCCTTCCTGCTCTGTTCCCCCATGTGCCCAGCACTGCCCCTGCCTCGCTCAGCTCTGCACTGACAAGCAGGACTTTGGCATAAATGCTGAATGAGGAACGAGATGGGCCTCCCAGGCAGGCAGAAGGTACCACAGGAGAGTATCTACACAAATCCATTCCCCAAATGGAACAGGCAGAAACCAGGCACAGCACTGCTGTATCTGCTCCCACAGTCCCCTGTGCTGGACGGCAGTTCCTGGTCAGGATGTGCCCTCCCCATGCGTGACAGTCACCCACTCTAAAAACAGCCTGCCAGACTTGACTGACACCCACCCCTGCTCCACAGCCAGTGCAGCCGGTCCAGACATGCTTCAGAAGATGATAAGGAGATGACTCTGTTCTTAAGTTACTTTTTAAAGCAGTGACAAGTTACATGTGGGAACAAATACAACAGTTACGTTTCTGGGAAGCACAATGTAAAGGCAGAGAGGATTGCCTTCTGTGCTGAAGAAAATAAGCCAACAGAGATTTTTTTAATCTCCTCTTTTGATAGACATATCCCAAGCCCAGAACCCAGTAAATAGCTCTGCAAGAAACTTCTTCCATCAGCTTAAGAGTGGGGACAGTGCTCTGTTCTCATCTCCTTCCCTCCTGCTCGCCCTTCAATTCCCGACTCCAGCTCCCAAGGGGAACAGGACAATCCAGATCACTGTATTTTTGTAGGACCATTTTCAGAGCACCTTTCATCCCCCTGAGACCACTAAATAGTGTAAACATACCTTCTGTCTGTAAGGTTCCTTGTCCTGTCTTTTCTAGGTCTCAGTTTAAGTACCTCCTTGCCTGGTTTCAATCCACCATATTTAACCATATTCAGTATTAAACCACACACAAACAGTGCTGATCAATCTCTACAACTCCTAGCCAAAAACAAGGACTCCAGCACTTCCTAAAAAAAAAATCCCTAAAAAGCAGGTTAGAGCACAGTATCAGCCCCGCTCCGAAGCAGAGCCTGCTCCACACCAGCCACCATTTTCTATGATAAAAATCTGTCTGGCAACCGATTAGAGGAACAATAACAAAGCAACAGAAATAGCGCAGGTTGGGGAGGAGGTTCACAGCTTCCTTACCCCTCAGAGCTGTGTGCCCAGAGAGCAAACAGGATCCCAGATTCCAGGCTGGTGTTCCCCACCTACCTGCAGGCCGGCCAGGTGGGCGCAGCCCAGCCCTCTGACGGCGCGCAGCGTGACCGGCTCGCTGCTGTCCATGCTCACCGCAGCCTTAGCTGTTGCCCAGCGCCATAAACAGTGCATTGTTACTGCTGTAATCTCTTCCAGAACTAAAGGATTTTACAAGCAGTCATTATTCTTGCTTTAAATATAGGTTTTCAAAGAAATAAAGGAGCCCAACAGCACGACAGCAATTGTAACTGCCAGAGCTTTCGAGCGCTCGAGCTTCACGATGTCTAGAGCAAGTCACCGAGCAAAAATAGTCCTCACTCTGGAGTGCAGGAGTCAGCAGATATTCTAAATTGGAGCTGGGGCTCTATTTCTGACAGGAGGGCCTGGGAGCTTCTGTGCTTCCCTGCATGGCAGCTTTATTTGGGAGAGGACTGGGGGGGGCAAGCGGAGGGGAGGGGAGAGAGAGAAACAGAGCATTGTTTCTCTCACTGCTGAGCCAAAGAACTCTTGCAATTAGGCTGCTTTTCAAAGGTGTTATGTCACAGATTAGCACAATCTTCAAAATACTCCTCCCAGCAACACCAGAAATGCAAAGGGAATCGGAACCCTTTAAAAAGGCAAAAAACCCATGAACTCAGGACTTTCTCCTGATCTGTCCCTGACAAACAGGGGGCCTGGAGAGCCCTCCACCTGCACCTCCTCCTGTGCTGCACCTGCTGTTCTGTTCAGCTCTCAGGGCAGCCTCTGGTGCAGCTATTCTGAGACTCTACAGATACTTGGCAACTCCTCCAACAAGCTGCAGAACCTAAAAGATCCAAGAAGACAGGGCTGTGTGCCTACATAAATACACTATGACAACACTTGTGGGGTTTTCCTTCCCTCTGGAGCACTTTTTGGAAGCCTTAAGAAAGAAACCCAGTATGGCTATTTCCATTTCCCAGTGAGCTGAGAGTATCTTAAGCTGGGAAGCTGTTCCCAGTGTTCCCTGCACACAGAACAGGCAGAGACTCGAGGGGCTCCATTTTCACTGTGTGAGCTGCTCGGCCACCTCTGTAACGTCTACCCCACCACCTCTCCCCCCAGTCCTGTCACAGGCTGTGCACAAAGCAGGAAACCATTCCAGAGTATGTAATAACTAATCTATTAAAGCTCCTGCTGTCAGTGATTTCCATTTTGAAAGCTTTCAGCTGAAATGCAGTTCAACATGCTCTGTGAAATCTAAGCAACAGCAGGAATGATCCCCTGCCACCTGTGACATTTCTGAAAGGAAACTCATCCCGGACAGCTCATGCACTGTGCTGATCTCAGTGTCAAACACCAGCAGTGCTGCATTGCTATTTTCTGGGCAGTGCAGTAACAGGACCAAAAAAAAGCCCTACAAGAACAGAGCACTCAGTTTATTAGCCCAGCTATTTCCACTTCTCCCAGCTCAGCCTGTTCCAGCACGGCTACTCAGGCATTATTTTAATGACCCATGGGGTACTGCAGTTCTCCTGTCCAGCTAATACAGATGCTACAGAAGCTGTTTGCAGCTGCTTGAAATGGATGCAGAACTCTTAAAAAATAACCATATATTTGGAATCCCAGAAGAATTTCAATGCTTTGAACACCTCTTGTAATTCTGTCCCAGAGAACAAAAGGCAGAGTTCACTACACTGGGCACTGCCTGGGAGGGGGCAGCAAGAGAGCACGAATCAAAATAATAAAAGTTGGGAAATTCTTCCTGCCTTAGACCAAACCTGGATCTGTTCGCCCCTCTGAGTGACCACACACACGGAAGGGCAGTCTCAACCCTCTCTGCTCCCTGAATTAGCAGGATGTGGCAGATTTGAACTGTCCACCTCCCTCCCCCCTTCTCTTCACCTCTTCCCTGCCCCCAGTTCTGCAGGCACCACAAAGGATTTATAAAAGAGCTACAAAGACATTCTTTTAGGCTCAGGCAGTTCCAGTAACCTTAGAAACAACACTAGCTGGGAGCCTGGCAGTTTGGCCACGGCAACAGGCTGCTTTTATCCTCTCACTGTCACTGCTGCACCTTCAGCCCCGCCACCCAAAACCTCGCTGGGCTGGAAGGCAATACCAGCATCGCATTCAAAAATGAACAGCAGGGAATTAAAAGGAACAACTACTGGGTCCTGAACTCATCCTGTTTCACCAGAGACCCCTTTGTTACATCAGGACCAAGCTGGAATAACTTCCAAGGAAATTTGTGGAATTTTTCACTTGGGCTGATTCCTGCTGAAGTCAAACAAAATTTTTGGTTGTTTAAGGATCAAAGGAAGCTGAGTGAGAACACTGTGACCTGGCCTACAGAGGCAAAAACAAGGAGAAGAATGGAAAAACCTTTTCTGCCTTGTTCAGCTGTGAGTGGACTGAGCTCTGTGTGTGGAATTGTAACTGCTGGTTCTTTCTTGGCTAATGCTGGACACAGAACACAGTGTGGTAGTGCACTGTTACTATCTAAAAGGTAGTAAGTGATTAAGGGGTGCAGTTGTTCTCAGACCCAGGGGGCAGGAGAGGAGGCCCTGGTGGTGCAGGACTTTTGCCTCACCCTGAGCAACAGGTGTGAGTGCTGCTTCGAATGCTGTTTTGAGGAGATGCCCAGTAAGTGTGGGAGGAGGGCAATGGGAAGGGAGGGTTTCAGCACCGCTCTGGGAGAGAGGAAGCTCCCTTTCCACCACGGGTCCCCCTGTGTACCCACGGACTCCCACCGTGCCTGGAAGTTCAGGGAGCACCTTTAACCCAGCAGGCAGCTGGGGCTGTTCTGAAGGGCCAGGCAGGCTGTGTGCTGAGGGCTGCCTTCCCCGTGCTCACCTGCACAACCTCTTTCCTCACGTTGACGATGTCCAGCCAGTCGTGGAAGCGGGGGTAGCTGTTGAGCTCGGCCGTCCTGTCGCTCAGGGGCACGCTGAGCTTGCACTGCCGCTGCCTGTGGATGTAGTCAATCAGCTTCACCTGCGGGGACACAGAGCCCACACTTCAGTTCCCAGACACGCTGCCAGCTCCCAGGCAGTGCCTGTGCTAAGGGCTGTGGTTGGGGAGCAGGGCTCTCTCAGGACATGGCAGTGACACACTTCTCTGAGCAGGGAGATCCACGCAGAGCATCTCCCTCACACCGAGCATCCCTGCTCCTCAACATCCCAGCACAAGGCAGGCCCATCCCTGCAAGAGTCTGCTCTAAACCCCATCAGCAGCAGTGCTGTGCAGAGCCTGGGTGCCTCGCCAAAATACGAAAGGGATCCAAACCATCTGAAACAATTCATTACGTTCATTTGAAGGCACTGCACGTGTACACACAACCTCTCTGGGGATGCTGTGGACATCACCAGTCCAACCTGCAGGACTGTCTGCCTGCTCATCCCTTGGTCCTGCATGTTTACTGAATTCTCTTACATCTGGTCTTCATTTGGTCTAGAAGATCAGTGAGGCAGGAACAGCCAAAGTACCCAGAGACTGTCAGGCTGTTATCTGATGGGCATTTCTACTAAAAAATCGACATTAACAACAGTTAACTTATGCGAAAAAAATTCAGGCAGTTGAACTAGCTGATTGCTGTACATCTTCTATTCTATTCTAAAGTTTTATTCCAAAGCTTTTATCACCTGACCATCTTGTGGCAAAGGCACTGCACAGAATTCTTCACTTTGGACACAGAAGAATAAGACAGCAAGAAGGAATATTATCTGTGTCTGATGTTTGCTCACCAAAAAGAAAATACTCCAAAGATTGCTCACTGTGTCACACGTTCCCGTGGGGCAGGCTTAAGCTTCAAAACATTCCTACCAAAACAATGCCTTAAAGCAAGTTAGTTGATCCGTGATTTATAAACCAAAACATGTCCTTAGTCAACAAATTCTACCATTTGGGACAAGATCAGACTAAGAATGCAAAGAAAAAAACAAACATGGATTCTTTGGCCATTCTAATGTCTGTCCTCTTACAGTTCAAGTGCTTTCCTATGAAGCTAGCTGAGGGTTTGTTTTATGAGCCATCCAACCCTTACAGTTTATCAGGTATAACAAGTTTATCTCTGCCCATACACTGAACTCTGACAGCAGTGCCGATTTTTGAGATTTATCAAGAAGTGATTCCAAGTCTCTGTGCCATGCCCAGAGCGAGGCACAGCAGTGCCATTCCCAGGAGAGACAGCTGTGCAGTGCAGCACTGCCATGGCCTAGAAACTCAGCCATCCCTCCTCATCCACACTGACCACCCTGCTGGCACCACAGGAACCTTTTCACCACAGCTTCCTAACACGGCTTTGGAGCAAAAGGCCTGCAAGAAATGACCTCGGAAATCCCACTCCCTCGCTCTCAGTACCTCTTTTTCTAGAAAGGAGCTGACGCTTCCTGTTGTACCCCCCTTGCCTGGCTGCTCTGGCCAGACCCCAGGCTGCGGGGCAGGGTTGTGCTTAAAAAAATACAGGTTCTTTTCACTTCCCAAGTCTCCTCCATGGCCCCAACTCCTAAGACACTGCTGGAAGGGGCTCTGTGCAGCACAGGCTTCAATGTGAAACTTTTCTTTGTTGGGCTGTAACAAACCCTTCATTCTCCAGAATGGACAAGCAGTCTGACAGCACAGATCTTAGATGGCCAAGGCTGCTTTTCCCAGGATAACTCCTTTGCATTTACTCCTCAAGTCCAAATTTGTTTTCCCCTAGTCCTATAAATAGTATATTTGCATTCTCTTCCCACCCTCCGTGCACCACGCTTCTCCCCTAGGATGAATTTCATTCTGTTATTTCCTGCCCAGACTTTTAACTAAACTACATGGTTTGGCTTTAATAGCTGAGCTGTTGCAAAACCCTTTTCTGAGAATATAATAAAAATTCTGGGTTCAGTGACGCACATACAAAGCCACAACCAGCACGCAGGTCTCCAGCCACAAACTAGACTGAGAGATAAAGCCAATGGCAGCTACTCACTGCCTGCTTGCTGAATGGCACGTCCTACTCATCACCAATGGCAAAGCCCACAGCAGGAGCAGCAATACTCCAACTGCCTCAAAGCCACAGAGCTGGGAAAGGACAGGAGCAGAGACGGACACGGAGCAGCTGGAGCAAAGTGCTGTTCACAGGGCACAGCCCTCCTGCTCTGTCTGGGGTCTGATGGCCAGGACACCCCCATCCCACTTGCTCTGAGAAGCCCACATGCTGCAGGGTATTCCTGGATGCATGTCCATCCCCTTACAGCGCTCTGAAAATATCCCTGTACAGCACAGATGAGAATCAGGCCCCAGAAGTTTAGGAAAAAACTGCCAAGCTCGTACTTTTCTATTTATTTATACAAAATAAACAGCAGCTCTCTCGAGACACAAGTTTGCCCGTATCCATGACCTCAAGCCAACAGTTGGGACTTTCAGACAACGACAAACAAAGAGCAAACCCCAGCAAGTTTTTCAGCTGCAGTTCTGCAGACACGGCACAGGAAAGCAACGGCATCTGTGAAACCAGATCACAGGCAGATACTGCAAGGGTGAGCTGGAAGAATTCTGTATTCAAACTGCAGCCCAGGTATTTCTGACCTCTGGTTCACTGATCAGAAATCACATTCTAATTTAACATTTGTCAAACAATGTTAATAGTTGTGGTGCCTCACCAGAGAAATTACATCTCATGCATTTAGGGGTCAACCCTCTCCCAGCTTCTTGTCGATTATGTTTTATTCATGTTTAGAAAAGTGGCATCTTGTTCCAGCAGTCATTAAAAGGCATTAACTCGTTGCAGTCTTTGCACTTGGTCAAAACCCAGTCAGTCTGAATTCAATGCACTTGATCCAAATAAACAGGGAGAAAGGAGCAGAGGCTAGAAGAGTTTGCCTTTTTCTTAGCTTATTCTCATGCTTTTGATCCACATATCTTGAAATACCCCCTCTAAATGAAGCAAAGAAAATTCTTTTCCATTAAAAAAAAAAAAAAAAAAAAAGGGAAAACCAAGGCACAGAATGGAGATTATAAATAAAACAACCTACAACCTGGGGACAAGCACAGGGACTCTGCTATGCCAAAGTGCCAACTGAGATTTCTTCAGAATATCAACAGTTGGAGACCAAGTTTGATTCAATCATACATTTCATAACCAAATGTCATGTTTCCACACTTTCACAAAACTTGTAATCTGCTCTCTGAAGCCTGCAACTTTTCTTGTTGACTTGAAACATTTGCAATGTTTACAAGAGGGGTTTGTCAATACTTCAACCAAACAAGTGTCATTTTTTAATCAACAAATCCAGCACATGTTCAAAAGCAGACCCCATTGCCCCTGTCCCAGCTGAACAGGGGAGCCTGGCAGCAAGAAATATGAGCTGACACCCACCCTTCCAAGCCTAAAGCCAGTCCTGCCCTGCAATCTGTGAGCTGCTGGCTCAGGCTTTAAAAGGATCAGATCAATGTATGGCCCAGCTCTTACATGTGGCTCAGAGAAATGCAAATCATCTATCTTGCCTCAGACAGGAATTAATCAGGAAGGAACTGCTCTATTAACCTCCTGCCAAGAAGCAGCCCAGAGGGCAGGGAGCAGTGTCTGCAGCATTGCTGCAGCAGGACACTGCACTGGCCAGGCCAGCACCACACAGCGAGGGACCTTCTGCACTTCTGCCCCCTGAAACGGAGGACAAAACTTCTGAACTCAGAGTTTATCTGCACGGGGCACTGGGGAAAGTCGAGTGAGTCATCCGAGGGCATCCAGTGAAAGTGGATTCACTTCACACCTTTAGCTGACTCTTATCTCTTTTCCCCGGTGCCATTAAATACACAAACCCTAAGTCAGACCAAAAAAAACCTCTTAGGCAACCTGAGCACTGAAGCAAACATAAAAAGGTCAGAATTGCACTTGCCAAATTTGTCTCTGAAGTCATGCTCAGCAACCATGTGAGAAACTGATAAAGATCTCACCAGCCATTGGCAGAGCAGGAGCATGTGAGCGCACTTTGAGGGCACTTTCTCAAAGTCATCGAGTTTAAAGTGAAAAAAGGTGCAGCTGGTTGATCCAGGGATGGGAAAGAACAAGTATTTCAGTTTTATACAGCAAGCTGTGAGCTGGGGCAGAGCCTGGGATCTGGGGAGCTCAGTCAGCCCTTGTGCAGGAGGTCCCCCGAGGAACCAACCCCTCCCTGAGTCACTGGCACAGCCCAGCAGTGCAGGGTCAGTGCTGCTCTGCCCCAGGGGCCAGCTCTGAAAGGGCAGCCCTTCCCTCGGGGGTCTGGGACAGATGAGCCCAAGAGAGCCTTTCCACTACAGTGAGAACTGAACCAGTGCCTGATTCTGACTGTTTTAAACCCGAATCTGCCTGGTGAAATGCAGAGAGTGTGTCTGTACCCTTTTCACACGGCATGCTCATTTTGCAGTGAAATCCAATCCAATCTTTTTCATAGAACATTTTGTTCAGCCACACAAAACTATTCCTCCCATCCGTGCTTCCATTAGGAACACTCAGATAATGCAGGATTCAGCTGGAGAGTCTTACAATCTTGCAAACTTCCAGGCTGCCTTGAAGTCAGCATGGAATTCAAAAAACTCTTTCCAAGGCAAGAACAGAGACTGCACAGGAGCAAAATGCATAACCTAAAGTAAGAACAGATGCAAAACACATTTCATTTCAAGGAATTATTTGTATCCTAAAAAAATGAGGTCAGTTTGTCACCCGCATGCCTTTGCCCTCAAAAACAACAGAACTGAGGCTACTAAAGGATGATGTTACAACTGTGAGCATGGCCAAGGTATCAGAGAAATATCTGGTAGCAGACTCATTTTCTTTGAGGTAGTACCTGAGAAAAGGGGCTCACTTACATGGCAGACACTGACCTGCAGTCTGTGGAATTCACACTGTCTTACTGGAACCCAGCTGACTCATCCAGCAAGACTCATGACAGCGAGCAGGACTCCTGTCCAAAATGTGAGGCCTGGCTTCTGGTTCTGGCTGTGCTAAAACAGTAGCCAGTGTTTGCTCCTTAGGTCTG